ATCTCTCTGCAGACGGGCGCTGCTGCTTGACAGCCCCATCTTCCCAAAATTCCTCCCTCAAAGTCTTCACGTCTTCCCTCAAACATTCCTCTACGGACACTTCGTCCTGATAATCAACAACACCAAGACCCGGATTCACAAGCGACGTCATTGCTCGCGTCCCGCAACGACCACGATCGTGTCTACGACGACGATAGCGACGATAACCGCCAACACCGCTCCGACGTTGCCAAGTCTCGTCGTCGCTCGTCTTATTCTGGCACCGAATCGTCGTGGACCGACACTGGCGATATTGGTGAGCAGCTGGCCGACGAGCACGACCCTGTTCGTCTACAGCTCTCTTCAGACGTCGAGGACGAACTTCTGGCCAGCGTTCATCGCCGACATCCCAAGCACGGCAACCAGAAGAGGGTTCGCATCCAGGACTCACATCACCACCATCATTCTCAGTCGCGATCTGCCCTTATCAACAAGGAGGCTATCGAGGTTCCTAACTTCAACCCTCCAGGTCCCTCTCGCGCTGAACGTGTACTCGGCGCCATCATGGCCGGACGTACAGGGTCAATCCATGGCCTGACAGGCAAGGCCCTGATGTATGATCATGTACTCTCGTCACTTGTTATTTTATAGACTGACCTTTACCAGCTACTTCACCAGTATCTTCGTATCACTCGGTGTTTTCCTTTTTGGATATGATCAAGGTGTCATGTCAGGTATAATCACGTAAGTTCTAATGCCTTTTGAACCCGTCTTGGTTTTGACTAACCGATTACCAGTGGACCATACTTCATGGATTACTTTGATCACCCTTCCAAGGCATACGTTGGTACTATGGTTGCTATCTTAGAGATTGGTGCATTCATCACTTCCCTGATGGTCGGTCGCATTGGCGACATCATCGGTCGAAGACGCACTATCTTCTATGGGTCTTGCATCTTCTTCGTCGGAGGTGCTCTACAGACCCTGTCTACTTCCATGCCCATGATGATGGCTGGACGTTTCGTTGCCGGTTTCGGAGTTGGCATGCTCTCGACCATTGTGCCTGTTTATCAATCTGAAATCTCGCCCCCTCACAACCGAGGAAAACTGGCATGTATTGAGTTCACAGGAAACATCGTCGGTTACTCAACATCTGTTTGGGTTGATTATGGGTGCGGGTTCATCGAGAGTGACTATTCTTGGCGCATTCCTCTTGGACTGCAATGCTTCATGGGTGCTCTGCTTGGACTTGGCAGTCTGGTCATTGTTGAATCACCTCGGTAAGTCAATCACATTTGGTGTGTCTCGAAATGGCTTGCTAATTTCACAGATGGCTTTTGGACAACGACCACGACGAAGAAGGGATGGTGGTCATTGCTAATTTGTACGGAGGTGGCGACATTCATGATCCTAAGGCTCGAGACGAGTATCGCGAGATCAAGATGAACGTCCTTCTTCAACGCCAAGAAGGCGAGCGAACATACAAGGATATGTTTCGTCGATACAAAACCCGAGTTTTTATTGCCATGTCCGCTCAAGCGCTCGCCCAGCTCAATGGCATCAACGTCATCTCCTACTACGCACCATATGTCTTTGAGTCTGCTGGTTGGGTTGGCCATGACGCTGTCCTCATGACTGGTTTCAACAGTCTCACATATCTTATGTCAACAATTCCACCATGGTACTTGGTGGATCGTTGGGGTCGACGCAAGATCCTTCTTTCTGGTGCCACAGCTATGGCCATCTCACTATCGCTCATCTCTTACTTCCTCTTCCTCGACATCAAGTGGACTCCTCGACTGGTTGTATTGTTTGTCATGATCTATAATGCCGCTTTTGGTTACTCATGGGGACCTATTCCCTGGCTCTACCCTCCCGAGATTCTCCCCCTTAGCATTCGATCAAAGGGTGCCAGTCTGTCTACAGCAACCAATTGGGCAGCCAACTGGCTTGTGGGTGAAATGACGCCTATCCTCCAGGAATGGATTAAGTGGCGCATGTATCTGGTTCATGCATTCTTCTGTGTGGCCAGTGTTGTTATTGGTAAGTTCTTTTTGTCATACCTGAGCTGACACCGCCTTACTGACATGTTATAAGTATACTTTATCTACCCGGAGACCTGTGGCGTGCGCCTGGAAGACATGGACTCGCTCTTCGGAGACGCCAGTACCGTTGCTGGCACTCCTTCGTTACACGGCACTGAAACTGGTTCTTTGATGAGGGCCGGATCTCCTGTGGGATCCTCTCGAGGGCTCATTGGACCCTCATCTGCCATTCCTGGTCTTTCCCTCGACCCTCCTGCGATCGATGATGACAGCAAGTCTCAGATGCAGACCGGCGGTGATGAACGAAGTATTGGTGGTTGGCTATCAAGAGTAGTCGGACGAAACAGGTCTGATAGTGGCAGCAGCGCGCAAGGTCGATATGCTCCTCTTGGTCAACAAGAAGAGGGCCGATAAAACCGACGTCATGACTATTGATGAAGTCTTTTGGAGTTTGTCTATAAGAATACATGCATATAGATGGCGCATCAGGCGCAGGATGCGTTACCGCCAGGATAAGATAGCGTAACGATCGCCTTGAAGGATACTGGAGTCACTTGATGGGAAATAATCAATTAAAGGTGCTAGGGCCCAAAGGAGACTGACGGAACGAAGGTGATGTGTGTGTGTTTTTGGATGAGGATCGCTGCATTTCTTTAAACATCTATGGATCGATATATTTAGACCGAATTTTCATGGAGTTAGACGGCTGACAATGGCCTGTATATCACATATAATGAGAAGAGCGGCATGATACAGACAAAGAAGTAACCATGCTAAGGAAACTGTTATTCCTACGGCGCAAGATCTCGCTCTCTCGCGGTTTCCATTGCCGTCACGGACTCGATGTTCCGTGATACTTAAAGTGGGCCCATTACAACTTCTTACACATCGTGACTGGGACACCAATGACATCCGTACTGTCTATCCAAATTCTGCAAGCATGGCTACCCCGACCGATATAAGGCATGCTTATCGACACATATATCGAAATATTCTCAAAGCAGTGCAATACACAATTCCAGCTCGCTTCGTAGCCCGCGATCAACTCCGGAGGGCCTTTCGCGAGCCAGATGCCGCATATGATGAACGGGGTATCAAGCGAACCATATGGTTTCTTCAGGCAGCAGCGAAAGAGAAAGGGTTGGAGCATAAGATTTTAAAGAACTTATTGCGAGTCCAGCAGATGAGATACCGGAAAAGGGATTACTCGACCAATGATCCGTTGAAACATGTAGCGTAAGTCTGAATCAATTTCCATGAGTGAGTAGTGCTTATGTCGCGATTAGACAGGAGATGAAGGATGCAAATGTGACTGCGTATAATCATTATGACATGACGGTCGCTATGCTTAATAAAACCATGGGCCTCTGTCTCCGTTGACATTACTTGAGGCTCCTTCTAGTTTATGCAAAGAAGAGCAATCCGGTACGCCATGGACTTGCCTCGGAAACCTGCGGTAGCTGAAGTTCTTGGAATAAAGACATACAGATATCAAGTTCGCAGACAAAGAAGGAATGGAGATACGGATGTGTATTTTGCTATCAAAGGCTTGAGGTACTATAGAAGCTCCCCTAGCGGCTCTTTGTTGGGACGATGAAAGGGACCTGTACATTAACGGTACTGGATGCACAAGGCAAAAGAAGTTGTATGGTTGATAGCAGATCTTGGGCGGAATAACCGACAAATTACTTGCATACGTTCTGAATTGGGAATTTCCAATTCCCCGAACGGCGAGACCTTAAATAGTACATGTACAATACATTAACATACATCGCAATCCTCACTAGGCTAACCGAAGCCCTCAACGCCTTCATACATGCTTTTCCTTTGTCTGTGATAGTCTTCTCCTTTAATCATGCTTGCTGTGTCTTTTATCGGCATTCTGGAGGAAGCTCTACTCCTCGCTCGGAACGTCAATGTCAACACCAAGCTCTGCGGAGAAAACCTGGTTTAGGCTGGATCCATCACGAACGTAGATCCAGTCACCCACAGCTGTGCCCTCTTTCTCATTCTGACCCTCTCCAAAGAGGCACCAGTCGTAGCGCTTGGGGCCAGAAATGGGAGACGACAGCCAGATCTGCTTATTGGGGGGCTGTTTATTGATGATGTATGTGCCCTTGACAGGCCAACTGATGCTGAGGACTCCAGCCTGTAGGCAAATGTATCAGATAGGGTTGACGATAATCGCACAAGTTATACGTACCGAGAAGTCGACGTCGATGTCTTCTCGCTGGTCCTGGAGTTCCTCAAACTTGCTGACAACATTATCGAGGTACTCGTCCGCAAGGTCATGATACTCCTGCTCAGTAATATCGGCCACAACAGCATTCTGATGGACCTCTTCGGCTTCGTTCAAAGGCTTGGCAGGATTCTCCGTATCAGGCATGATACCCCGCTTGTCGGAAATCGTCGTCGAGAAGCATTTTTGCGAAAAGACAGATCGAACGGAAAGGTGTGAGATTGCAGGAACGATGCGGAAGCTTGAGCGGCAGATGGGCGTTGAAGAGCGGATCGCTCGCGAAGTCAAGCGGGAAGCTTGAAATGCGATTTGTCGGGACATTTTGTTTCTTAGAAAATCAACTTTCGGAAACTGCGTCGTGACTATAGTATCGAATTGTTAGAAAGGGCCCGTAAATGAAAACCAGAATAGCATTCGCGGTGACGAGCTTGGTCAGTCGCTGTTGTTCACAAGATGAACGAATTGAAGCAACCAAGCTCCCCGCGGTCTGGAGAAGGGCAGCTGCCAAGTGTGGAACTGACCAATTGCGCCATGACTTTCGTCAGTGAAGGTACGTACCGGGATTGTAGCTCCCGCATCCCATCATCATCAGCTTCGCATCTTCATTGCTGATTACAGACACATGCCCCACCATTCACCATTTCAACCTACAATACCATTTGAATCCATCCCTAACCTACTCCACTAGGTCATCTACGTTGGTTCATTTAGGGCATGAAGAGCTCCTGTCCCTAATCATGATCAATGCCTTTCTGGTCTTCAACGGCCAAGGTCAGCCTCGTTTGACCAAGTTCTATACTCAATTGGTATGCTTTATCCCCTCCAGCTTTGTTACCAGAAACTCAGATGCGCCCCAAAGGAAACTAGTATACAACAGCGCCTCATCTCCGAAATATTTACACTCGTCTCGAATCGACCGGCCGGATCTTGTAACTTCTTACCCCTCCCACCTCTGCTCGCCGCTTCAGGCACCTCCCACACCTCCTCCGAAGAACAGAATGATGTCCCAACACTAGTAACATACCGCAACTATGCGACCCTTTATTTCATCGTCATCTCTACATCGACTGAGTCGCCGCTTGCCCTTATCGATCTGATCCAAGTCTACGTGGAGGCCCTCGACAAGCTCTTCGAGAACGTCTGTGAGCTGGACTTAATCTTCAACTTCGAAACCCTACACTCTACCTTATCGGAAATGATAATAGGGGGCGTGGTAATAGAGACAAACCTGGATCGCATTGTCTCAGGAGTAAAGGCCCAAGGGACGGTCGCGAAGAGACCTGTGAACGAAGGCAGAGGGCCTACTGGTCTGGGAAGTGGACTTGGTATGGGTGCCAATTTTGCTTGGACTGGGCGATGAGGATTACGACTATTCAAAGCGACGAACCAAATACATGATAGAGCGGATTATAAGATGTGCCTGCCTGTTGAGACATCCATATATGTTTCGTCTTTACGAGACTAACGCCGAACTCCAAGTATTGCATAATATACATATAGAGTACACTATTTTGATTCTGGCTCGTCCTTGGGGGGATGAAAAGGCGGCGCATCTGGTCGTCGTTCGTATCGCTTCTCCGGATCGACTGTGCCGAATAGATATTGTGTCTTCTTACGGATCTAATGATGGCGTTAGCAGTTCCTGGTTCTTCTACAGTCACAAATACGAACCTCTTCGGAAGGCTTATACTTCTGACCCCACCATTCAAACTCGGAGTAGAAGCAGATCCAGATCAGTGCAGCTGGAACTCGAGTTAGTTAAGTCCAGAAACGATTGCGTGAGGATAATCTTACCAACAATCGTTAGGAGCTGAGCAGTCTTGACAAATCTCACCCATCGCGGTGCTCGACTTGCTAGGATAATGCGACGTTTGTACTTCTTCTCAAACCGGAGTTGTTGCTGGACAGTAAGCTGCTTGAAGTCCGGAGGCCACACTTTTCGGGCTTTATAAGGATTGGTTGCCACCGTCAGAGGAGCCTTCTTGAGAAGGCTGTCTTTTGAAGACGAGGCCATACGTCTCATCAGAGTGGGAAACATTGTGAGTGAGTCGCTTCCGACCTCGAGTGACTCAGTGGTTCAAGACATGGAGCTTCACATGAGGATTGTCGTTACGGATAGGTACCTAGGTAGTGTTGGAGAATCTCCAATAAGCGCCACATTACCGCCACATCACTAGCCACATTGACGCTACGAGTGCCCCGCGATTTTCACCCCTCCTTCTGGAGTTCGATTCAATCCCTTCCAAACAGTGACTCAAAAATTTCCACGGAATTTCGAAGTGCGTATTTATCACCCAACCTTCGTATTTCAACCTACTATTGTGGGAAAACTGACAACATTTTCTCTTTCTTCCCAGGTATCGTCCATTTGCGACCATGGCTTCTACCGATTCTGTTCCCAAGGCCATGGAGGCTCTCAACATCTCCAAGACCAAGGAGCTCAAAGGTGCAGGTCCAACTTCCTCCACCATTCTCAAGTGGCCACTCTAACTATGAACAGACTGAGAAGCGAGATACTTTGATCGCCCTCGAGAAGAAATATCAACAGAAATGGCAGGACGAGAAAGTCTTCGAAGCTAATGCTCCCACCACGGATGATGTGCCCCTCCACTCCATTTCCGCAGCCGAACTTCGGGAGCAGCAGCCCAAATTCTTTGGGACAATGGCCTACCCTTACATGAATGGAACCCTTCACGCTGGTCACTCTTTCTCCGTCAGCAAGGTTGAATTCGCCGCTGGTGTTGCACGCATGCAGGGAAAGCGAACCCTCTTCCCCATGGGCTTCCACTGTACAGGAATGCCCATCAAGGCTTGTGCCGACAAGCTCGTCGACGAGGTCAAGATGTTTGGCCAAGACTTTTCGGGCTACAAGGATGATGAGCCTGTTGTCGAAGAGAAAGCCCCTGTTGCCAAGCAGACCAAAGAGGATGTCACCAAATTCAAGGCTACGAAGGGCAAAGCTGCGGCGAAAGCTGTCAAGATGAAGTATATAAAGCTTCTGCCCTCGAAATTTACATCTTGCTAATATATCTCACAGGTACCAGTTCCAGATCATGCAAGCTATTGGAATTCCCGCTGAGGAAATCCACAAATTCGCTGACCCTCAACATTGGCTTCAATACTTCCCTCCACTGTGTAGGGAAGACCTGACCAATTTTGGTTGCCGCATCGACTGGCGCCGGTCTTTCGTCACCACCGATGCTAACCCTTACTACGACGCTTTCGTTCGATGGCAGATGAACAGTCTCAAGGCGCTCAACAAAATCAAATTTGGCAAACGATACACCATCTACTCTATCAAGGATGGTCAGCCTTGTATGGACCACGACCGAGCTGAAGGTGAAGGTGTTGGCCCTCAGGAATACACTGCCCTGAAGATTAAGGTTCTCGAATGGGCGCCCAAAGCTGCCGAGACCCTGAAGGATAAGCTTCCGGATGGTGTCAATGTTTACCAAATCGCGGCCACTCTGAGACCTGAGACTATGTATGGCCAAACTTGCTGTTTCGTTGGCCCTAAGATTACCTACGGGATCTTCAAAGTTAATGAGAGCGACTACTACTGTATGACGGAGCGTGCAGCAAGGAATATGGCGTACCAGGGTATCTTTGCTAAGGAGGGCGTCATTGAGAAGGTTGCTGAGATCATTGGCTCCGACATGGTTGGCACTCTTGTTGATGCTCCTCTCTCTCTACACAAGGAGGGAGTCCGTGTCTTGCCTATGGAGACTGTTCTCCCCACAAAGGGCACTGGAGTTGTCACTTCCGTGCCTTCTGACAGTCCCGATGACTTTGCTACTGTGACCGACCTGGCTAAGAAGGCTGATTATTATGGGATTCAGAAGGAGTGGGCCGAGCTTGAGATCTTCCCCATTATTGAGACACCCACTTACGGTGACCTCTGCGCCCCTTTCCTAGTCAAGAAGCTCAAGATTGCCTCTCCCAAGGATACAAAGCAGCTTGAAGAGGCCAAGGAGCTTGCTTACAAGGAGGGCTTCTACCAGGGTGTTCTGAAAGTAGGTGAGTTCAAGGGCGAGAAGGTCGAGGTTGCCAAGTCCAAGGTCCGACAGCAGATGATCGATGCTGGTCAGGCATTTGCCTACTCTGAACCTGAGCGCAAGGTGGTCAGCCGGTCAGCCGATGAATGTATCGTTTCTCTCATGGATCAGTGGTACCTGGACTATGGCGAGGAATCGTGGAAGAAGACCGCCCTTGACTATGTGGAGAATGGTCTCAACACTTACACACCTGAAGTTAAGAACAGCTTTGAAGGAGTTCTGAACTGGTTGAACCAGTGGGCTTGTGCTCGCTCCTTTGGTCTTGGGTCCAAGCTGCCCTGGGATCCTCAATTCCTTGTTGAGAGTCTGAGTGATTCGACTGTCTACATGGCCTACTACACTATCGCACATCATCTGCACAAGGATATCTTTGGTAAGACGAAGGGAACCGCAAACATCGAACCGGAACAGATGATCGACGAAGTCTGGGACTATATTTTCTGCCGCCGTGATTTAAGTGACGAGATTGTCGCAGACAGCAAGGTTCCTAAAGAAACCCTGGAGAAGATGCGCCGCGAATTTGAGTACTTCTATCCTCTCGACGTGCGAGTATCGGGCAAAGTGAGTAAAATGAAATTACCTACATTGAGATGAGGGGAGACTAATCTTCGTGCTCTATAGGATCTGATAAATAACCATCTCGTTTTCAGTTTATACTCCCGTTTGTTACCCTTTCCTTTCTTCTTCGTCGTTTCCTGTTCCCTGATTTCCCCTGATTTCCCCTGGACTTTTGTGAAGTTTCTGAATCTTCCTGGACCTTCCTATTTCCTTGCTCCCTTACCTCGTTTCAGGCAAATTTTAGTGTCTTTTGACTAACCCTTCTCAGATTTGGCCCTATTCTCTCAAGAGTACTGGCCTCGAAGTATCCGCGCGAACGGTCATTTGATGTTGAATGGCGAGAAGATGAGTAAGAGCACCGGTAACTTCATGACTCTCCGAGACTTGACAGAGAAATACGGTGCGGATGCTTCTCGTATTGCTCTTGCAGATGCCGGTGACGGTGTAAACGACGCCAATTTCGAAGAGGATGTTGCCGATACGAACATTCTCCGATTATATACTCTCAAAGAGTGGTGTGAGGACATCGTTCGGGATCAGGATCAGCTTCGAACTGGCGAGTTGAATTCGTTCCAGGACGCTTTGTTCAACAACGACATGAACGCGGTTATCAAGGAGGCTGTTGAGCAGTATGCCAACACCAACTACAAGCTGGCCTTGAAGGCTGCTCTATATGAGTTGACGAGTGCTCGCGATTTCTATCGAGAAGCCTGCGCAGCAGCTGGCATAAAACTGCACCGCGATCTTGCCCTCCGGTATATCGAGGTACAGGCCCTGTTGCTGGCCGTCGTTGCTCCTCACTGGTCTGAGTACATTTGGCTTGAGGTGCTGAAGAATAAGGACACTATTCATAATGCTCGATTCCCCGAGATCAAGGAGGTCGATGCTTCCCTGTCGGCGAAGCGTGACTATGTACGAAACACTGCTTCCAACGTCAACTCGGCGGAGGGTCTGCAACTGAAGAAGAAGGCCAAGGGCAAGGAGACATCTTTCGACCCCAAGAAGCCTAAGCAACTCACAATCTTTGTCACGGACAAATTCCCAGCTTGGCAAGCGAAATACATTGATCTCTTGAAGGAGATGTGGAACGCGGAGGCCAAGTCAGTCAACGATAAGGAGCTCAATGGCAAGATTGGCAAGATGGGAGAAATGAAGAAGGCCATGCCATTTGTGCAGAACCTCAAGAGACGACTTCAGACTGGTGAGCCAGCGAGCGTGGTCCTGGAGCAGAAGCTGGCATTCAACGAGAAGGAGACTCTCCTGCAGATGGTTCCTGGATTGAAGCGAACCAGCGGCCTGGTTGCTTGCCACATCATCTCAGTCGAAGAGGGCAGCAAGAAGGGAACCAACCTCGGAGATGGAAAGGAGGTGGAGCTTTCAGTACCTACAGCCGAGCATGCAGTCCCTGGACAGCCAACATTCCATTTTGAAAATGTCGAGGCTTGAATGTAAGAGCTAAGAAAAGGAAATGATCTTGCTTGTTGCCAAAATAGAACGTATCACATGGGAATGCATGCAAACTCATCGGTTGAGGTTACGTGTTCCTGCATCAGATGTGTGTACTGTGTGTGGATCGATAGATCTGTGTTTCGAGTTAAAATTGGAAAAGACGTCGATCAGCTGTACTAGAGACGGGCTCGCTTTGTTATTTCTGGCATCATTGCCGTGATTTTGTTTTTGATCTGGATTGAGCTTGACGAGCCCCGTGTAGTATGTAGGCCTCCCTCTTGGCTCCGAATTCGATACAGTAATCCGGATCCTTTGGTAGGCTATTCTTGTCCGTGGGACTCTGTACACGCACGCGCTTACGCTGACATCATGTATCCAGTGCTTTGCCAATAAGCCGAAAGAGTGGCAGTGATAGTGACGAGATTCGATAATAGGTACATGCGGTGTGTGAGTAATTCAGATACTTATTGCCAAGTTGCAAAACAGTATTCCAGAACTTGACAGAACATGGTTGGGCCTACTATGACAAGGTTGAGTCAATGAGACAGGGGTGGCCGATAGCATCAATGAGGCGAGAGAAGAGTTGGTGTTATTGCATGGTTCGCTTTAACGATATTCGTCAAAATATCAATAGAAGTTTACTCATATCGAAATAGACAGTCTGGCCGAGCTTCTACCTTTGGCTTTTTTCTCCGAGCACTACATGAACAGGGCAGGGGATAACTATTAATTTCACATTGAATATTTCCGGCTGCATCCCCATTTGGTCTGTGACAAACCCCTGGGAACATAATGGATGTTGAATACTATCGAGAAATGTTCCGGGGCAATAAGCAGTAATAACAAACAAAAGGGGCCCCGAAAGCTTGTTCATGCAAAAATATGGAGTTTTCCAGGTCGGTCAAAGGAGACAAAGATTGAAGGGGATATTCAAGTTCAAGGGACCTAGCCTAGCCATCATCACTATACCTGGACACTCTCCTCCAACCGTTGATTCAGATTAAAATATGGAATTATGGATACATCCACTGATGGGTTCCATCAATTGCGCGTCGTGCGCGGTGTGGGAGCGATGCAGGCAACGGAAGCGGTAGAGGACGGGAGCGAGACAAGGCCAGAGTGCCGGGGGCAAGCTAGCAAGAAGCCGGCAGGGGGAGGGAGCTTGATTTTCTATGAAACCACTATAACAGCACAGGCCGTTCATATTTATTTGCTGTTTTGCTGGGGGTTCCCTGGTCTAAGTGAACGACAGAGTTCGAGGCAATCGATCATGATGGAGCTTGTCGGAATGTCCACGCTGTTTCGTTTTAATGCAGTGCGCGATAAGAAACGATAATACATACATATGGAGGGAGAGTGGCTGGACGATCATTCTTGTTAATTCCCTCTCCCTCTCCTTTCCCCCTTGACTGGTGGCTTTGTGGTTGCTGTTAAGGCCGCAGCCTGGTCTGAGCTGTTTGATTCTGCTTGCGCGTCAGAACCACAATTAAAAAAATCCAACACAGATCTACAGATTATTAGTCCGAGCCGCAAAATGTACAATCCTAGCCCTTGGTGCTTGGTCCAGCCGCAAGATTTCAGGGCACAGGCTAACAGGGCACAGGGTCCCAGGGATATGGAGGTCTCATCTGCAACTGCGGGAGAAGGGGATAGGGAATACCGGCAGCCGCTATTCGCGCAGATTCCCTGTACTTGCATATTGTTCCGTCTATGCTTTCCAGTATGTATCAATAGTGAGCGGCTGGCTGTTGTTGTGCAACGTCTCCAGTTATCTTGTGGTTGTTTTTAGAAACATTCTCTGGCAGAATCGAGCGGGTTTTTTTCTTTCCTATTCGCCTTGGTCTGGAAAGCTTGCGCAATCCGCCTCCACCAACCCCAAACAAACTAACCCATGCCCAACCGCAACCATTCATGACTGTTCCCTGATCCTCAAAGGTTCAGATACAGTGCAGTATACATAATCAAAACTTGGTTCCGTTTATGACGCAAGTCTCTTGTTGCTCAGTGAAAACTGTGTAGGTTTATGGAACTGCACGGCTGATCATCTTAAGGACTGTTCCTGTTTCTAGTCATCTTTGGAGGTTGGCGTTGGCTAGCTAGGCTGGACCTGAACATCCTGCAGTGCTGTTATGCTTAGTTGGCCGTCTCTCCCGTGGTGTGCATCCATCAAGTCAATATCTTGTCGTCTTGCATATGGTTGCGGGTAGTATCAGATCTGGGTTGGTTGATCTAGCAACAATACCGTCGTGCATAAGCATCAGCATCAGCGGAACGGTTGGTGTGAGGCTGGGTCTATCTATTTTTTGCTGATTATCGAATTACTCGCTGTACAGCCGCGTCAATCCTGCACCGCAGTCAACCAGTGTAGTCCAGCGTGACTCAACAGAGAGCCTTCCTTTCACTGCAACCTCAACTGACACTGTAGATTGCGTTGTCTCTGTGCCTTGGTTTTCAGACAGAGAAAACAAAAGTCAGTGTGGACCCCCTCAGCTCTGTAACTGACGCACCGGATCAACTTCCTCGTTGAGGCCCTGGCATCTGGTATTGGGTGATATCGAAATATCCTGGCGGTGGAGTCATGTATAGTACAACGGTGGAACTCGAAGACAGCAAAAGAAGTGGGTGGCTTGGGGTTGGGATGATGCAACCGCCCCCTGGGGCTGGTATCATGTATCATGTATGTACTGGACCGACCGACTCTCCTCTCAATCCTTGCGAGGCTCTCAGGTATATAGGAGTCGAAGCTCCTCTGCTCATTCACTTGTTTCTTCATTCTCAGCATCCACTTAACAACTACTACAACTACAATCGCTACATCAACACTCGTTTAAACCCAATCTAATTCTCTTCGAACTCTTCTGTCAACAACCAAACAACCGAAAACCACCATCAAAATGCACGCTTCCGCTGCCGTCCTCGCTTTCGTCGCTGTTGCGGCTGCTGCCCAGACCCCTGTGGCTCCCGTAGCTACTCCCGTCGCTACCCCCGGTGCCCGTTAGTTCCAACCCTTTCTCACGATCCTCTGTTCGCGACAGTTCAACTAACATCAACATTAACAGCCACCAACGGTACTAAGCCCGGCTCTGGCTCTGGCTCCGGCTCCGGCTCCGGCTCCACCCCCGCCAACGGCGCTGCTGCCCTCGGCCTCAGCGGCCTCGCTGGTGCCCTCGCTGTTGCCCTTGCCCTGTAAATTTTGGCATTCGGAACCTGTACAGGGTTTGGTGGATATGAGGACATGCTGCATTCAGATGCATAGTCCTGGAGGAACCGTGCTGGTGCGCGTATAACTTTCGATGGAGATAGATCGGGAACGCTTTGTCCTGACTAGAATAGATAGACCAATGGAGCGAAATCACCTCCAGCTATATTAATACTAATCGCATACCACCAACATTGTCTGATCATTTTTTTTTTTCTTTTTTTTTTTTCGAATTATTTTTCTCGATTTTTCCCCCATTCTCTTTCGTGAAATGGTTGTCTTGTTATATAGCCCACTTGAGCCTCATGGTCCTGCTTGTCTCTGGAAGCTTGGTAGAAACCCTGTACCAAGGGATTGGCGGTAAATTTATTTCCGGCATAACCATGGTGATTTGCTCTCATCCTAACTTGCTGGGGCCTTAATCGCTTCTTCCCTGCCCGTCGCCCTTGTAAATTGGCCGATTGTGGCGGCAACACAGGACCCTGGGTTGCAAAAAACAACACGACCGGTTTGTGACACATGGGTGGATTTTCGTGTATGCCATTCTCATATGTTTTGCAAGCCCCCCGGACAGAATATATCGAATGAGCCGGGCTTCCAGTTACCCTGGGGTCACTCTTGTCCTACCAAGGTAGGGGTTTCTGCTCGCATTGGTTTGGGGACGTGGCGAAGATGGGATTTTCAAGAATTCCGGAAGTTGTGGCCGATTTACCGGTGTCGAGTTGGGCAGAAGCCTCAAGCTCCTCAGAGGTTGTCGCGCCCACGGCGGAATGGCGACTGTCGTGCCAGGCTATTCGCATGAGTAGTCGCAATTTGTATGATTTTATCGCCGTTCTTGCTATCACTCAAGCGGCTATAGGAACCTGTCCACCCGAGGTGCCTGAAGTGGGAGGCTTTGGTAGGTCATCCTGTACTTGTTAATAAAACCACGAGCAAACATTCGTGCAAAGACTTACCAGATCAAAAATAACCCGGATCATGAGACTGCAACTAGGACATACGGCAATATCCTGCTCGTCCAGCAAATCCTCGAGTGTGATTTGGAACTTGTCGCCACAAGGACATGGGAACTGGTAAACACCCATAGCCTCGTCAAAAGTCATGTCCTCGATCTCGACCTCGTCGTAGATAGAAATACCCTCGTCGTCGGACATTGTGGCTGCTGGTTGATGGCTAATATGATCGTAACAAGAAAGGTATTCTTCGGTGATGTTATGTTTATCCAAAATATTCAGAAAAGGTGCCCCGCGATGCGATCAAAAATTCAGTCATCCCCGCGGAGAGTGGCTTCGATTGTTAAATGTGGCTGTGCTCAATCTGTGGCTGTTGAGTCAAATGTCAATCACATGCCGAGCGCAATAGGAAAATGTGGGGAGGCTGACATCTGCCCCAGATTCATCGACCGAGGAAGCTTCTGTATGGGGAAACTGCCATCGATATCTTGGAGCTCACAAGACGTCTGTGGTCATGTAGCGCAAGAATCTTACTCCCTTCAACAACTTTGAATTCTTTTTCCCTTTCTTTGGGCTTTGATCCTAAGACCTTTGTTTGAACCAGTGCTTGTTTTTTTGGTTGTATACCATTCGACTTCCGATTTCCCCATGCACTTAGCTATTTTGAATAAATCTGTGATGTGACGTCGATACGCCTCGGCTCAACCCCAATCTCGACGTTTCGACTTCAAGTGACGTACGGAGTCATCGCTAGGGACCTCTCAATAATTATATACCATTGTCAACTTAGTCTACAGAGCCTCTGGGTCTGCGCGCGCGTTATGGCATCGCAATCGAAGCTCGCCTTGCCGGGCGATCGCACCCTCCGGAGTATTATCTCGCAACTCACAACCCTCTACGTTTCCAATCGCACACGTATCTCACGCGCTGTATGGATAACACTGTTCGCTGCCCTCGCTAATCGAATTCGCCTTGCCATCTCCGAGCAAAAGGCAGCCTCTGCCCGTGAATCTGCCCAGCGCGCAGCTCGTCGTGGTACGACATCCAGTGGCAGCGAGGAAACACCCAGAAAAAAAGTCGAGCTGAATCGCGATTTCTTTCGGTCATTGCTCCGGCTACTCAAGATTGTTGTTCCAGGATGGCGCAGCAAAGAGTCGAGGTTACTGATGAGCCACAGCTTCTTCTTGGTTCTCAGGACTTTGATTAGTCTACGCGTCGCCGAGATGGATGGTGCTATTGTAAAGGCTCTCGTGAAAGGAAACGGAAAGGAATTCCTGAAGCGCATAGTATGGTGGATGCTCATCGCGGTCCCTGCGACCTTCACCAACTCCATGGTAAGTCTGATTATTCCCCGATATTCGTTGCTTGCTCACAACTGCTTTAGCTTTCGTATCACCAAGCTGAATTGTCACTTAAATATCGATCGCGGCTTACGCAGCATATACATGACAAATACTTATCCAATCTGACTTTCTACGGCATCTCGGCTTTGGATGACAGAATAAAGAATCCAGATCAACTGATTGCGGTTGATGTATCAAAGTTCTCTAATAGTCTGGCTGAATTGTACAGTAATTTAGCCAAGCCTCTACTCGATATGGTATGTTGAATTGCTTGCACTTAGCAATAAAGTTGCTGACATCATTTAGACAATATATACCTGGTCTTTGTCGAAGAGTGTTGGTGGTGAAGGCGTTGTCTTCATGTCACTCCTTGTCCAGTTATCAGCCAACGTGATGAGAGCACTAACTCCGCCGTTTGGGAAATATGTTGCAGATGAAGCAAGGTTGGAGGGAGAATTCCGCTTCCAGCACTCGCGCCTTATCGATTATAGCGAAGAAGTCGCTTTATACGGCGGCCACAACGCTGAAAAAGACACGTTAGACAAGGGCTACTTTACTCTCATCAAGCACGTCAACTACATCCTCCGACGACGCTTTTACCACGGATTTATGGAAGATTTTGTCATTAAATATTTCTGGGGCGCGCTTGGTCTGATGCTCTGCAGTGTTCCCGTCTTCGTCAAGATGCCTGGTCATATCGCGATGAATATGGGCGATCGAACAGAAGCCTTTGTCACCAACAGACGGATGCTCCTCTCTGCGTCCGACGCATTTGGCCGTATAATGTTCTCATATAGAGAGGTTATGGAGCTGGCGGGCTACACGTCTCGTGTTGCTACTCTACTGGATGTGATGGATGACGTCCAGGCTGGTCACTTCGAGAAGAAGCTCGTCTCCTCTTCGGGCGTTGAAGGCAATGAGGCTGTCCTCAAGGGGCGTGGAACTGTCCACGAGAGCAATGACATCACTTTTATTGATGTGTAAGTTAGAGATCACTGTCCTCTGTTACTACGCTAACCCATTCACCCAAATAGGCCCATTATCTCACCTAACGGTGACGTACTCATCAAAGCCTTGTCTTTCACTCTCAAACACGGAGACCACTTGCTTGTTGTTGGGCCTAACGGCTGCGGCAAATCGTCTCTTTTCCGCATTCTCGGCGGTCTCTGGCCTGTTTATGGAGGCACAGTCTACAAGCCCCCTTTCCACGCCATTTTCTACATCCCCCAACGGCCTTACCTTTCCCGAGGCTCCCTTCGCCAACAAATCATTTACCCGGATTCTCTTCGTCAGATGCGTGCTCGTGGTGTCACGGACACAGACCTTCTCGAGTATCTCAAGATCCTTGGTCTTGAGCACCTACCCGAATTATACGAGGAAGGGTGGGACGCTGAGGCTGAGTGGCGCGATGTTCTTTCTGGTGGTCTCCAACAGCGTGTTGCCATGGCTCGGCTCTTCTACCATCGCCCTAAGTACGCTATCCTTGACGAGTGTACCAGCAGCGTTACCCTTGAGACAGAGAAGGCCATGTATGATACAGCAAAGGCTCTAGGCGTCACTCTCATGACTGTCAGTCACCGTCGAAGTTTGTGGAAGTATCACTCTCATATCCTTCAGTTCGATGGCCAGGGCAACTATGTTTTTACCAAGCTTGATGCCGATCGACGTCTCAAACTTGAGGATGAGAAGGAAGAGCTGGAGGTTCGATTGCGCCAGGTCCCCGAACTGGAGCGCCGCATCGCCGAGTTGACGGCCGCTTAGGCGGCACGACCTATATTATGGTTTGAGTAGAAATATTTTCGAATACCCGTGGCTGAATATTTGCACAGATACAAGTGTATTTCCTTGGAGGTACTTAGACATTGGCCTAAAATGTTTAGTTGATATGGTAGTATATTACAGGCAATAATTGAAACAGCTTCTTCGTCAATCTTGATGGTGTCCTGCATGTTTGTAATGTGCTGAGATATACAAACACGTGCCAAGTCTCAGGATGGATAACCAAGCTGAGTTTGCGTTATACGTAGTCGAGGCTGGTTAAAGAACAGAGCTTATGTACACGTCCCTGGGGGTGTCATGGCTCTCAACCCATCCACCAAACCTCTCATGTCGACCATCCTTTCAAACCCTATCTCAATATCTCACCCACTCCTGCTGTTCCGAGGATGAAAACGGCATGTCTTCTTATGCAGGCTGTTATCGCCTCTCATGATAGCCCGATGGTCGGCGCCGCATTCCCAGCAGAACTCATACCCACATCTTGAACCTGTGATACACAAGAATTAGCACTGCTTAGGTATGTCGCCTATAGCTAGCCTAAAAGAAAACTGTGGCCTACTGCATAAACTAAGTAAATTGAGTAGTGCCCATGGATCTTATTGCATTTTTCAGCTACTTGATACGGAGTCATTGGCACTACTCAATAATACTGAGAGGAAATCAACCGAAGCACATGTGGAAGCTGTTCCATTTAGAGCCGCAGTCCCAACAAAAGTGGTATTGGCATTTTGCACCTGCTATGATCAGCACCCATATAACGTGGCCGGCGTGGAGGTCCTATGTGAACGCACAGTACCCCTGATAGTGAAGCAGCATTATAGCAAAACTTGCATGTGCAGAAAGATAAAAAGAAAACAACAAAGGCGGCAAGGAACCTACATGTCATATGTGCACTATAATGCTTGTTAGTACTGTGGTTGCCTTTGCAGGTCATGAAGACTTGATGCTTACCAGCCGAAACTCCTCTCGATAGCCCATCCGCATCCTCCACAGGGTTTTGATGTAGCTCTCATTGTTGCGTAGCTCCTTGACTCTTCTTCTCTCTTTCTGGCTGCAATTTTGCGCCTTTCTTCTGCGGCATTCCGGCTCGATGCTGTTTCGCGAAGAGCTTGTTGCCTCTGGTGTTTCTCTTGCTCTAGCTGTCGTTGCTTTTCCTGGTTTCTCTGCCTCTCTCGTTCTACCTGCCGTTGCCTTTCCTGATCCCTCTGTCTCTCTCGTTCTCGTTGCCTCTTCTGGTTCTGTTGCTCTAGCTGTCGTTGCCTCTGGTGTCTCTCTTGCTCTAGCTGTCGCTGTCTCTCTTGGTTCCGCCTCTCTCGTTCTCTTTGGATCTCCTGCCTCTCTCGTTTTTGTTCACGTTGCCTCTCCTCGTTCCTCTGTCTCTCATGTGCTCGTTCTCGTTGCCTCTGCTGTGTCTCTCGCTCTCGCTCTTGCTCTCGGTGTCTTTCTCTTTCTCGTTCTCGTTCTCGTTCTCGCTCCCTCGCTCTCCGAGCTTGTGCCTCTTGGCGCTCAGTTTCAGCAATTTCTTCGGCGGCAAGCCTGCGAGCGACGTCCCTATCTGCCTCTTCTTGAGCTTCTTGAGCTGCCTGAGCCTCCTCCCACCTTTCATTTTCCAGTTCCAAGTAGCTACGGAATTCTGGATCGTCTTGAAGCCGATCATACTCCTCACAAGACAAGTCTTCATGCCAGTTGACTCCGTGGTGAAAGCATGAGCGATGATTACATTTGATGCAAACGACGATGGGCTGAGTAGACCCAGAGTCATGGATCTGTCCAGAGCCGCAATCAGAGGTACACCAGAAGAAGTTCTCCTCGTCTGACACAGCAGCTCGAAGCGCCTGTCTTTCGTATCTATATGATGTTAGTCATGTTCTATCGGTTTGAGGACTATATCCATACTTGGCGATTGTCTGTTCATCGGCAAAGCGCTGAATGTCGTTATATTGTAGTTTTTCTTTGCACTCGTCGCAACTAATTTCGTTCCAGTATTCGGTCTTCATGGCCACTTGGATTGATCGCACCATGCAATCCAAACATATGGAAGGAGTGTGCGTGCATTTCGAAGTGACAAAATCTGGAAAATAATTTGGAGCTTTCATGTCGCTACAGGCAAGACACTCTCGACTGCCTATTGCGCTTGCTGTCACAGCATCACTGTCTGGTGATACGGGCAGATCAAGGTACGGGCCTGCAGAGGACGAAGACGAAGACGAAGCTGAAGCGGCAGCGGCGATGCTAGTTATAGGTTGTTCATGGTATGAAATGTTGTCGTGTCTGATATCGGAAATCTTAGTATCTGTATTCTCAAGGTCGAAGTCTGCAAAGTTGGAGATAGACGCCGGGGTAGGACGATAGCCTTGTCGAGGCGACAAAGCAGAAGTAAGCCCATGAGCGACAACTATATCGCGACGAGACTCCGCAGTAAAGTCAACATCGCCGAGAAATGAAGGACGCTGATAGCGAAAATGGACTTGTGTTGATGGTACAGGGGTTGTATCGTACGCTTGAGACTGAGCCGTGTTACTTGATGATGACTCTTGAGGTTTGTTCACTCGATTTTGCACTGCAGTGGCACTAATATCGTCTTCGAAACCCCTCGTAATGGCTGAGTTAACGCGCCCATAGAAGCTGCTATTTTGGGCGGACATGTCGTTGGTGCGCGCAACTTTGGACTGTTGGCGAGGCGGTTGAATAGGGGGGCGTTGATCAGGGTTGCGTTCATGGGAGGGAGAAGGCCGAAAATCTGAGTATCGATCAGGGAGAGGACGTGTCTTTTTGGCAGTCGCTTTATTCCTGCGCTGAGGGGCAGTGCCAGTGCCATTTCCGGTTCTCGGGGTAGATGTCTGATTAGTCGAAGTTGAAGTTGAAGTAGTGGCCTTGACCTTCTTCTTTCTTGGTACCACCTTGTAACCTTTGTTTCTCCTAAAGCAGAGCATTTTGCCAAGAGAGTATAGCACTCAGAAAAGGAAACTCAGGGTTTCACAATGCAGGCAGGTACCCGATCTCCCGTTCAATAATATGCTGAGGTTTCACAGCCCTGCCCAGGTTAGTAGGCCATGTTGAGTGGGTAAATATGATGTTTGATGATGGTTTGCAAAAAGGTTGATCGAGCAACTTTGAAGCAGTGGGGGACTTTATGTACTCTTCCAACGTTAAGTTCAAAGGGGAAACATTAAGGCACCATCAAAGAAAGCAAGAAAGAAAGTAAAATTGGTGTCTTGAAAGTCAGTTCTGGAGCTGGAGGCCATCCTTACACCACATTGGCCCGAGAAGTCTGCAGCGGGCCTGCCAGGCTTCATCGGAGGCAATTGAAGCCATTCACAACAACGATTTCAACACATCCATCCCCAGACCCTTAGTTCCCAGCCCATGCGCGTGCCGGATTAAGGTTATAACATGAATCCCACGTGCCCCCGCCTTCTCCAAGCCATCTCAGGCCGATACACTCACACCCTGGGGCGGTATGGGTATGGTCGACTACCTACCTACCTAAGGTAGGTAGGTGCTGAGATAGGTGCGGTAGGTCACAAGCCCAATGACGAGGACTATGCTACCGACTAATAATAACTCTTCTTGTAAGATGTAAACTAGGTCAGCTTGGTAGATTTTGTCCAACAACATGTGCCCGAGCCATCAGAGTTTGATCCAAATGTGGATATCATTGCGGCTTGAGACTCGCAGATACAAGAATCACTCTGAGTATGTAGATGGCTTCAAACATATTCACATGACACTGTACCAAAGCGCTGGTCTATCAAAACAGTTAACACAAAGCATGACAAAATTGCCTCAACGAAACTTACTTTGGTAGATCAGAGTGTAACCAGTGGATGCGGAGGTATACACAGCCTCGATCTCACAGTTCAGCTCGTAGTACCATTGGCCGTCGCATCCTTTTCTACGGCGAAGCTGATTCTCTGGAATATGACTGACGTCCGCTTCAACGATTGAGAGAATTTTGACATTGTCGTTACGGGACAATGGAGCTTCTCGAGACAAAGGGTCATTGTATATAGTCATCCTGACTGTTCGAATGCGTCCTTTACTGACAGGATTTGTCCACACAAATGCGGCGATATAAGGTTCGTTCTCAGACACCGTCGAGCCCTATTGTGATGTCAATTTGGTCAGATTTGCTAAGTGAAATAGCGTCTGTCAACCTACTCTCGTAATGAACCACTCCATGACCCGGACTTTGTAGCAGCCGTCGAGACCGCACCAATATCTTTCGCTCTTTAGATTTCTGTGGGACTTTTCATCCCAAAGTACACTCCATTCAGTGCCATAGTGTTTTCGGGCCTTGCGGTTCTCCACTCTGACCACTGCGGAGTCTGGGGAGGAAAGAGCAAGTCCTTTGAGCACGGCTCCCTGTACAATAGCCTGCCATGCGTTGGGGGGCTGCAATATCCGCACAGAGCTATCTATGGCAGCTCGAAGTCGCTCCTTGAGGTAGTTAGAGGACCCAAAGCCGCCTACCAGAAGAATGGCTTGAACAGGCACGTTACCAGCTGTGATTTGTTCCTTTACCAATCTGATGACCTCAAGCACCACAGGCTCGAAAATTTTATGAACGTCTGATGCCTTCAAGGCGAAACGACCACGGCTAATGCCGAGGGACTTGTTGTTTGCCAATCCTGCTACAGGGATGTTATAGGTCTCGTCGGGTTCAACGTTGAAAGCGAACTGACGCTTGACCTTGTTCTCAAATACGTCCAGGGCCTCAGCCAAGATCTCGTCATCGAAGCCCTCTTCCTTGCCAAGTTTACTCTGAAGAAACTTTGAGAAGCGCATGTTGAGAAACGTGGAGCCGCAAAGTGCACCTGAACCAGGAGCCGCTTCCTGGACCTCCAGGATAGGCTTCGTGCTCAAGATTGTGTACGAGATCAGGTCGACAGTACCACCGCCTGCGTCGACCACAACGATGGTGTCGCCGGGGTCAAGGGCATTCAGGTCCAAGTCATGAAGGGCATAAATAGCAGCTGCTTCCGGTTCGGAAACCAGATGGACATGGTGCTCGGGCGCGGAAATCATCGCTTGTTCGCATGCCATCTTAGTCTTTTCCTTCGCTAAGTCGCTCCAGATAGCTGGTACTGTGATGACAAATTCCAAAGGAGTGCTGTTGACAAGACCACTGCCGAGCTTCTCACGCAAGGTGTACATAAGATGCTCAACGAGCTGCGCAATGAAGTCGGTGACAAGTTCGTCGGTATTTCGGCCGCTTCGTGCACCCTCGGCGCTTGGATTTTGGCCAACAGCCTGTGTGGAAGGGTCTAAGTCCCTTTCAAGGTATGAGCTATCTAGCTGCTTATGCTTAAGAAGGGGGGTTTGATACTTACAGCTTGAACCACTCAACAACTTCATGTTGAGAGGCATTCACAGGGACAGAAAACCCCCATTCGATCTTTTCTCCACTGTATCGAATCCTTGTAGGAACTTTATCGCTAGATTGTCCTTCCTTGTTGGCGCTCGATACAGGCCATTGCGTGATACAAGTTCGTCGCGATGGGTTGCGATTCTCAGCCCAAGCGACTCCAGAGTATGTGGTCCCAAAATCAATGCCAACGATAATCTTTCGGTCGGCTGTTTTAGGCTGATCAACTTCCATGGAAAAGGGTTTTGTAGTGATTGGGCATGAAACGAAAATAAATATGATATCAGTTTCACGGCTCGGGGTAACAATGCGCCTCGCGTGGTAGCTGAGCACAAGTGTGAAATGGATAGGTAGGGAAAAGAGGAGGGAGGGTGGCCTTTGGGTAAGAAATAAAAATGTGTGTAGATCTCTCAAACGGAAGAGAGAGAATGTAATAGAGAGGAGCGCTGTTCCTTAAGGTGATGCTGAAGTAGGCATAGATGGACTTGCTGCGCAGGGTTACACACAATTCCAATCTACTAGGTACCTACCTACCTAAGTAGGTAGTAGATCCTATGAGGAAAGTGGTTTTTCTGTCTACTATGGTACCTCAAAAAATGTATCCTTTCTTCCTGCCTCAACAAGCCCCTCTCGGTACTCGCTCATCTACTATATAGGTACCTAGGTATACCTAAGTCTTGTTTGTTGCTGCTGGCTTTCGATTTCATATCTAGCAGTAGGTACCTTTAAGGTTCTTACACTTCAGCATTTTGGTCATCATGGTTTGAAGTCTAAACTAATTCCTATGGCAGGATGTTGGGTCACAGTGTTTTGTTATCTTATTTTGCAGGGTACGGTTATCGGCTTGAGTAGTGAGGAGCAGTGGTTCGCATACTGAGCGAGTGGGCTGTTAAATTTTGCAATGTCTCACTTGCTCCATCTTTATAATCAATGACTGGTCACAAACTCAGCTTCGGTACTCTACTAGAAGTATAATATCCTTAAAAAGCTGCCAGTAGGTAGGTATGTTGACGTTAATACAGAGCAGCCACTAAAACATTTAGTTCCATCAGAAACAGATGCGGCTGAGAGCGAATCCGTTTAGTGTCCTCAGGGAGCAAGAAAACATCGGGTCTTGATGTAGGGTGTCAAAATAAACTGGGCAAAAAGTCCCCCTCAGGCTTAGGTTACATTGACCTAAATATTTTCATCGCTTAGGGTCAAGGTCCTGTTTTTTTTCCGCCCCTAGGGTGTGCCACACTTGGCAGGGGTGCAACAAGGGTTTTGCGGATCACTCTGTGGGGGTTGGTATAAAAGTTCTGTACTTCACTCCACTTCCAATAAGAAAGACTCAGACCGTGCATGTTTGAATACGATGTAGAATTCTATGCGGCTTGAAATGGCATCAGATCTATTTCATTAGTCGCACTACTACCTCTCGTAAATCTCATGACGGTTTAGCCGGCTGACATCTACCAGTAACAAACATCCTACCCCGCTTTGGGTCCATAAAGTGCTTGAAGATATCACCAAAGAGAGGTACTAAGGTTTCTTATTTAGAAACAGGAGAGATAAATTTTTTTTTGAAATAATTGAGCAATCAACCCAGTCGGATTAAATGTAGGCGTCCTGTAGTTGATCGCTGTTTATGGCTGCTAATATTCATTGCAAAGGTCTGGCTTCTGTTGTATCTACCTAGGTGCTGGAGTCTGCAGGCACCCGAAAATCAACGCACCTCGCCTTTCCACTCTTGTTCTCTTTTTCATTGCGACACTTCCGCACGTTTGCTTGACGTAGAAATGTAGTACACGGCTAGCCGCTGCCGCTGCCGCTCAATCGGACTTTTTCATGGCTTTGTTCTACTTACTTATTTACGTACATCGTTTTGACCTTAGCAGCTGGAATTCTATAATTGTTCTGATCAGAGGCTCAAAACTCGACACAACGTCTCCCGGCTTTGCGCTTGACTCTCCCTTTGAATGATTACAAATGAATTCATTGAAACGAGCAAGCTCAAATCAAGCGCCGAAGAAGGGAATTATTGCATGCCTCGAGTCAGCCCAGGCTCTGAATTCCCATTCTCCAAAACCACAGCCAAAGACAAGAGTACCGTATGCCACTCACCAAAGAAAGAACTTGGAAACATGTCATCTGGGGTCATGCCTGGCAGCTGGGACACTGAGAGCCCTAGCACAACCGAGACTCATGAGGACTAGGAGCCAGATATTGAAGCTCGAAAGGGCACGACTCAACGTGATCTAAAGGAATTCCATCACTCTAAAGAAATCTTCAATATCCCTAGCAGTTCCGGTGAGTTCCAGCCGCAGTCGCTTAAAAAAACTGAACCATCGCCCACGACTGAAAAGGTTAGCTCACTCGGTTCACTCGCCGATTCGAAAACCGCTCCAGAGGAAACCCCTCAACTTTGCCTTGTCGAAGATATCCTACAAGGGCTATCTGAACTCAAAGAGAACAAAGAGAACAAAGAGATTGCCGAGGAAAAGGCAAACAAATTCACGAAGAAAGTCATGAACATGGAGCATAGGTTCAGTCTCCGGCCCTACCGCAAGGATCTCACACCTGCAGAGTTTAGGCAGGTAAGATATCCGTTTTCCAGTCAGTAACTACACGCCTTTGTTTGCGAATGCTAATCTCAAGTCCAGGATTACGATGCTCTTATTGAACAAACTTAGGACTGGATACAGAAGCTCATGAACCCCTGGATGGAGGACTGTGACGATGCTCATGCTTTCTTGATCTACGCCAAGAGGCGCATAGCTGATGCTGACAGATTCCAGAGAATTATCTGATGAATGGTCTGAATTTCCCAGAGACTGACGAGGACGTCGTCACATCCGTGATTTTGAGATATCTTCATGTTAGGGTCTTTCAGTCTGTTCTCTACGATGTCATACCTCGCAGCGTACATACTATTGGTTTTATCGAAAACCACATGCGAGCCTCAGTTGAACCCAAGAGAGGTATGTAAAAACAGCTATGGAGACCTGCGTGAATAAAACTCGAGACTGCTAACACGAGCCGGTATGCAGACCATTTCACCGTGAGAACATGGACTGCTGAAGCATACAGCACTCTTCTCAGTTGTCCCCAGTTCAAACCAGTCCGCCAAAGAACAGCTAAGGACATGGCCGTACAGCTTTCCGACATCCTCAGGATTTTCTCCCAGGAGGATAATCTTCACAATTGCTACCAGGACCTTATCGACGTTGTTGTGTATCTCGCCATTAGATTATACGAAAATTGCAAGTCTCAACCAACCACTTCTATCTAGACATTAATTCCCTTCCTACCAGTGTCGGCGGGGAACGCCATCCAATGCCCAAGCTCATTGATTCACTCATGAGACCTGACTGCAAGAACGTACTGCAGAATAGGAAGGGATTCAACCTGCGGAAACTTGACCCTCCACCTTCCGAAGAAGACTTGTATCACAGCCTGCACACTGTGTGCGCCGTAGTACCAGCTTTGTATGTGAGACAGGTCAGACAAGGAGATACCCTGAAGAATCCTATCGTTATTCGAAAGCAACAGGTCCTGGTAGCTTGGGGTTCGGGGAGCAGAGACGAGCTTAGCAAGACAATGGGTGTCGAACACCAATTTCGCATTTGTTTGCGTTGAAGTCTTCCGAAGACGGTTAATCGTCTTTTTCGAATGAGAGGTTATGCTTGAGGGTTCAGGAACGATAACCCACCATGCGACTAACCCATGGCTGTTTACTGCATGGCAAGGAGCGAGATATATCCTGGGGAACCAAGGAAGGTGACAGCTACAGGCCGGGAAACTTTACGTCGCCTTTTTGCAGACAAACTGTGTTCAACAACGGGATTGATATGAGCAACTGATATGTGCCCTAACTTATAGGTAGTATTTAACAAAGAAGTCTCTACTACATTGATTGTTGTACCTCGAACGAGTTCTTGTCATAAAGATAGTATTCTACAAAATAAATCTTCTGGAGATAAGCCCAAGTCAGGGGCTCAGGCTATTCACACAAGACGTAGTAGAATGAATTATCAGGTCTTGATGCCACACAGGCTCTAGACGTAAATTGTACAAGTGTGCTGCAAGCCCGCACACATTTCCCTATGGCCTGCCATAACTAGGCATAAATAATATCCTAGGTATCCATAACACCAAGCTTACATGACGGAAGTAGTCTGCGAAAAAGTAAAGAAACAAATGAATGCGAAGATGTCTTTTTGTGGCGAAGCAGGCAACAACAGTGAGGGAAACAAGCTTGACGATAACGAAATATAAAAAAGAAAAGAGCCCGCCTGTGCTTGTAGTCAGGAGAGCAGTGAGGTATCAGCACATTGTACATCCATCCTTTCTCCCGGGCTCACAAGTCGTCTCCGTCCCCAAGGTGATCCAACCATGGGTGCTCTAGTTGTGAATACACATCTTTTCCCCTCTAACTCCCTTTTCGGGTAGAACAACATTCATAAAAGAATCAGAAATACAAAGGAAGGGTATAAAGGGAACCTCTATAGGTCAGTCCGTTCATGTTTTCACCGTCTCTTATCGGTGTTCGGAGAGTCTTGCCCCTCAGTGCCGGGACGCCTTTTCGTCGAACCCTGCGTTGTAGCGGCCGAAATAAGCCCGGAAGTAGTCCTACTCCTCGTCCAGACTTCCCATCATGCCATTGCCTTTGCTGCCCTTGCGGCCAAGCTTGAGCATGCTGAATCTCTTGCGGACACTGCCCTTCTTGCTAGGGATCTTGTTCTCGACAGCCTTTTCATTGCCGCTACCGAATTGCTGGTCAAAACTCCCTCGGCTGCTAAAGCCTCCTGGAGACTCAGGGTGCTTCTCGTCATGAGATTGAGTGCGGAAAAAGCTATGCCGTCGGTTGTGTTCTTTGCTTTGACTTCGACTCAAAGAGCGGCTCAGGTTGCTCGCTGTTTCAATATCGACAGCAGGCTCCTCAGGCTCAGTTGGCAACTCGGGTTCCTTCTTCTTACTGCCACCAAGGAAACTGAGTCGTGTGCCTCGTTTTGAGACGGGCCTAATGACCGACGCTTCCTCTGTGGTAATGCCGTTCACCGAAACTCCAATATTCTTATGTTTGGGGCTGGCTTCAGAAGAACGAGACGACCGTCTCCAAGTAGGAGAAGGTGTCGTAACCGTTTCGCGTTGAGGCTGAGGAGGCGTGAAGTGTGCGATTTCCGACGCAAATGTACTCTCAAAGACTATAAGGAATTAGTTGTCTAGACCAGCCTATGATTAAAGGCTAACTTACACCTATGAAGCTCCTCATGTCTACTGTTGAGAATTTCATTTGGACTTCGGGCGAACATGGCAAGGCACCTCTTGATCATGATAGCATGGTCCACGAGTGCCATCTTGATAGCGCTGTCTTGGGGTGTCAATTCTGCCTCTGATGCTTCCTGGTCCTCATCATCTTCAGCATCATCGTTAACTTCCTTGGGTTCTGGCAGCAGTTGGCGGTAACAGGCCACACTACTTTCGGATGTTGGGTCGACAGAAACGCTGACTGCATCGAGAAGAAGTTGGGCATGATCCTCATTACCATCAGCAACTCGATGCTCAAGGGCAGTCATTTCTTGGGTTTTGCGGACAATCCGCTCCAAGGCTGTCTCATGGGCGCTGAGTCTGACTTCCTGCGTGTCAACAACTTCGCTGCGGCGAAGTATTGTAGGGAAAGCATCAGCAGTCGTGAAAACCCATTTCTCGGCAGAGTGCTCCTTGACAGGGCCGTTTGTATTGCGTCGTGTGGAGATAGAAAAGGTCTGAGGATGAGATGATAAAAGAAAATCCCGAATTACTTGTGGCACCCGTGCGCGCTGGAAAACCTGGTGGCTCAGGTCACGATGAGGAGTGACAGCTGAGATAACCAGGAACTGACCTTCAACATCTTCAACATCGCCCCCAGTGACAATTTGAGCAGCTGGATACTGCTCTTGCATGCGGTCTGTAAAAGCGGAAGCGCGTTCGTTTGGAGATCCCTCGTATATATACTCCTTGTCTCTAAGGTTAGCATGGAATCCAAGCCCCTTGTAGACAACCTTGAAGTATTTAGGAACCAGTTTGTCACTTTTGGAGATGGTCTCATATATCGTTGCGATTGCTCGTTCAGTCCTGGCCAGCTTGGAGAAATCGAAGATGTTGGTCTCGTACTGTGTTTGTAGTTCTTTATATGCTGCCAAAGCATGGCTCCATGACTCTCCGTCTTCAAAGTATTTGATCATGTCGAAGTAGAGTCTCTCTTTTCGCTCGAACTGAGACTGTGCCGGAAATTCCGGGTCGGGCAGAGCTGGCGTCTGGTTAGCCGGATCCCACTCATACAGATCAGCATGCAGCCGTAGGGCCAGACCAGCTTCTGTGTGGTTCCGCGATTCGGCTTGCAGGTCAGCAAGCTGGTGCACATAGCGAACAAAGATTTCCTCCTTTTGCATATCGCGAAGGAATTCCATGAGCCGCAAACGATTGATGAGATGTGTTGCTTCGCCAGGATCCTCACTACTGTGGACTGCAACCAGGAGATCGAGAAACTCATCTATAGTTCCGACGAACTCACGTAGAGCTGTATACAACGACTCGTCAGGAATTTCTGCCAGAGGCTCAAAACGTTCAAGTAGCTCGGATATGAACAGTTTCTGCAAGATGCTCTCAGTCAAAGGCTTCTCCTTGAAGAACAGGTCCAATCGATCGATTGTCTCCGTCTGAATGATCGATAGATCCTCGCTCAGTGTCCATTCGCTGACAATCATAGTCTGTAGCACTTCGACAGCCATTCTTCGAAGACCTTCATGCACGCTGAGGCACAACTCGACGATAGGACCAACAAGTGCCGGGACATATTGAACTTGATACCCTCCCATCTTTGAGAGACTGTATCGGCTTCGTTCATCGGGGGTAGTCTCCCAACCGATCGCCTCCCAAGTGCGACGAAGGAGCTCAGCACCATGTTCTCGAACATCCCCCGCGATCTTCCACACTGCTCTTCGCTTCTGCTCAGGGAACGTCTCTAACGCTAGAGACGTACTGCCCACGAGTTTAAGGAGTGTGGTGAAGAAGAGTTTCCATAGCTCAGTATTAAAGCTTTCTGCTTCCTCTGGGTCGGGAAGGAAAGCTTCTAGCATTGTACCAGCGAGATACTCAAGTGTCCTCATCGTCGATTTGTGATGATGAATGTGTACACTCAACCAGCCTAGGGGATATGCTTCTCCCTTCAGTATGCTCATGTGTACCCTAAGAAGATTCTCTAATAGAGTAGTCAAGTCGTCCTCGGCAAGCTCCAGTTGCATGCCTGTGGGTGAATTAGATATTGCGGACAAAATAGCAGAAAGCTCGACCAAGGCTTCATCGAACTGAAGGTCTTCATTAACAGGTTTAGTAGGGAAAGGGTAGGACGATGGGAAAAGAAGAGAAAGGCGGTCTTTCGGCTTGCGGGGAGCAGCAAGAATCGCCAGATAAGAATCGATTATTTTCGGAATGTGGTCCGGAATTTCTGAGCCAAGATAGTCGATCTGGCTTGCCAATATAGAACAGCATAGACGGATCTGGTCTCTCCATTGGTCGGTCACCTCTTCAGAATGACCCCAGTGAGGAGTGATCCATCGAACAGTGTTGGTGCTGAGGGCTAATTTTTGGTCAGGGTGGGCAAATAAGTCCAGTTTGCCATAATTGATAATCAGGACAAGCTTATACAGAACAAGTTTGCCCTTGACATCCGTGCACGAGTCCATAAAGTCAATGGCAATATGCAATATTTCCTCTGTGGTCAACAACCCAGCAAGTTCTGGTAGCCATGTGTGGAAATGCTGGACGG